TATAGAGATCTAGTCTTAACGTTTATAACAAAAAATTACTATATGATCGTGACCTAACCTTGACTTTTAATATTCTCCTCTAAATTATGAGAGCAATATTTGCTACTACTAGCTTCATTGATATGTTGTAAAGATAAATGATTTAATATCTGCTAACTACATTGAACATCTTAGGAAAAGAATGCATCATAGATACAAGTTATTTTAATCAAGGAAACTACAGTTAGTAAAGATAATATCTGCTGTGCTTCAGACATAGATAACAATAAATGTTACTAAGTCAAAGATATTAGAAACTGTCTCCAGTTATTTTGCTCTAAGTACAGTACTATATTAAACTCATTATTAAACCTGCATTAATTTTGAGTTAACTTTGTAAACTTTGCTCATATAAAATACAGTTCCAAGGCTTGGAATTGGAGAGGGGAAGAAAGATGCATAGACTGTTCATTTGGTTGGATCTGTTACATTAATTTCACAATCTGTGAAGGAGTAGATTGCCCCCTGAATAGTAATGGAAAATTAGTTTCTTTATTTCTTCATTAAGACTGTGGGAGGAAAATTAATACTCTCTTCGGCTTTTCCAAATTAATAGAATATATCTTTATTAAATTGATGAATGTGCATGCCTACTTTCTTTTTGGTTGAGAGGCTCTCTAACTCAAAGAATAACTGAATTTAAAGCCGAGCCTTAGAAATCATCTTGTTAAGGAAACTGCGATTCAATGAGATGAAATTAGTTACCCAAGGTCACATAATTAATTAAGGATTGAGCAAAATTAGAAACTTAGGTCTCTGACTGTTAATCCAGTGATCTTTCAAATTCATCAAGCCATTTAAAGTGAGGAAAAAGGGAAATTCATTTATACTTTTCATATTGTTGCCATATGTAATATTTTCAGTTCCCATGCCTTGAGGGATAGTAATCTCTTATGTATAGTAATAAAATAAAATTTGTACCTTTTCCCAATTTTTTGTGAGGTTCAGGTGGAAAGAAATAGAACCCCTATCTTGGAAAGGCCAACCATGGACAAAATTGTGAGTCTTTCTTCAATCTCTCTCTTCCTCATTTTATATTCCTAAACTAACCCAAGTTCCCAATTAACTCTCTTCACCCCACTGCCCTTCTTCATGAAAACTCCTCTGAGATTTTATCTATTTCATACATAAACAGTATGTGTGATACACACACACACACACACACACACACACACACACACACACACCACATTTTAGGAAATAAAACATACCATTGGTATGTTTTAATTCCTCCTGGATTGCATCTTCTCATTCATACTCAGAAGTAACTAACCACTCTCCCATCATTTCATTCTTTTCTATCATTTCTTTGCTTTTCTTTATAGTTTTACTACATGTGAATGCACCCCTGATCAATACATTGTTTAGTTTGTGCATGCTTTCAAACTTTCTGTAATTGGCATAAACATAACTATGTTCTTATAATTTTGTTTTTTCATTCAACATTTCATTTGTTAAAAATTATTATATGTTGCCTTAATGTATTGGTTTTCAGAGCTGTATTGCATGCTGTTAGATGAATACACCAAATGTATTTATTCGTTGTTGATGGCAAACCCATTTTTTTTTTGCTATTATAAACAATATTGCCAAGAATATTCTTTTTTAAATTTTATTTTTTAATTAGAATTGACAATCAATATTATTTTATATTAGTTTCAAGTGTATAGCTTAGTAGTTAGACATTTATATAGTGCCATGGGGGCAAGAATACTCCACTAGTGGAATCACTGAGTGGTAAGGTAAGGGCATCTTCAAATTTGAGACAATGCCAAATTTTTTTCTGAAGTAATTTTTAATCAATTTCACTCCACCTAGCAGTGATTATGAGTTCCCATTGATCTATATCCTTGCTAACACTTGGAAGTGTCAGATTTTTAAATTTCTTTTAATCAGATAGTAGTTTATTTTACATTTCTTGGATTAATAATGGAGAGAGCATGTTGTCATAGTTATTGGCCATTCTGATTTCTCCACTGCACATTTTTATTGGCTTGTTGGTCTTTGTGTTATAGATTTGTAAGAGAGTTTTTTAATATTATATTCTGAATATCAACTCTTTGTCAATTATTTGTTTTGAAAATATTTCTTCTTACTTGTGAATTGTCTTTTTGTTTTTTATTATGTTCTTTGCTGAAAAAAATATTTTATTTCCTTTATCAATATTCTTCTCTGAGGATTTTTTTGTCTTGCTTAAGAAATGGTTCCCTCCCTAGATGTTGTATAGATATATTTTCTATATTTGCTTCTAAATGTTTTAAACTTTTGCTTTATACATGTAAGTCTTTAAATGGCCTAACATTTATTTTCATGTATCACATGAGGACTGACTTTTCTTTTCCCATATAGATAACAAATTGTCCTGTTATCATTGAGCAATCCTTTTATCCTAGATTTTCAGTGCCACATCTATTCATATATTGAGTCACAAATTTCCCATGTTTCTGTTTTTGGCTTTTATATTCTGTTCCATTTATCTGTTAGTCTATTAGCACACCATCTTAATCACTATAGCTTTGAAAGTCATGTGATAATCTGATAGGGTATCTTTCCCTCCGCCACATTCTTCTTCAGGAGCTTCTTGGTTATTCTTGGTCTTTTGACTCTCCAAATCAGTTTGAGAATTATTTTGTCAAACTTCCACAAATAAGCCTGTTGGAATTTTTATTGTATTGCACTGAAGTAGATTGTTCTTTCTTCCTTCCTTTCTTTCTTTCTTTCTTTCGCTCTCGCTCTCGCTCTTTCTTTCTTTCAAAAAGAAAAGAAGAGAACTGAATCTTTCTATTCTTGAACATGCTATTTTTCTTCATTTATTTAGGTCTTTTTTGATTTCTTTTGGCAAAGTTTTATAATTCTCCCCATAAAGTTTACATATCTGCTTGGTTAGATTTCATTCTAAATCTATTTCTGTATGGAATACCTTATATTTTGCTCTGAAAGTTAACATTCACAATTAAGTTATGCCAAATGGCTTTACCCAGAAGCTGCAAACTCAATTACCTATGGATCCAAGTAAAAGAGATCAATGTAAAAAGCAGCCCAAGTGTAAGACAGCCGATGATGAAGATTGGAGGTCCTCTACTCAGCTCTAGCTAATCATTGCCCATTTACCAGGACTCTCAGATATTCTAGACTTGTTTGAAATTTCCTGATATTTAAAAGACTGTGTAGGCTGCCAGTTTCAACCATCTTCAATGATTTAAAATAGAATGATAAGTGAATATCACGTTTCAACCAGCAAGTAAGATAGGTGTTCAGAGAGCAGAAAGGGAAGCAATTCACTACAATAGCTATGATTTCGAAAGACAGACAACAGTATATGTTGGCAAGGATATGGAAAAAATGGAATCCATTGCTAGTGGGAATGTAAAA